GTAAAATGTTAACTCCTTGAGGACAGAAGCTGTTATATTCCTGTTTCTATTCCCATGATGTGAAGTAGGTAGGGTTTGCTACAGTTGTGTCAATGAGTGTTATATATAATGAGCCCACCTGAGTCCTTAGGAATAGTCTAAATTATGTTTGATATGAAAGATTAATCAAAAGTAGGATGTGTGCGTGTGTCCATCTTAGTGCTTGTAGGTATAAGCTCCACCTTGCTGGATAATTCAATTCCCTGGAATCAAAGAGAATTTTAAGAAAAAGTGGAGTAGCTTTCTTATTACTCATTGTTCTCATGAGGATATCTAAACAACAGTTTTGTCAATTTTACCAGTTGTTTCTGAACTGGAAAGAGATAGTACTTGTTCCCACTATCTTAAGAACATGAATTTTTTTTCCGGTAATTTTAAAGGTAGATTGTGGTTTATTACAGTTACCTGTTAAGTTACAGTCTTTTATTTGCATAACATTTTAATGACACTTATTTCTATTATATTTGGTTATGTACAATCATAAGATTATCAGTGTAATTGTTTTCCTACTAGTTTTTTGTTTTAGTATTGCATTTTGTTATTGATGTTTTCTGTCGATCTAAAGAATATTTTATCTCCACATATTTATAATTCTAATTTTGTGTCTTGCTTTTTTTTCTTTCTTCCTTCCTTGCTTCCCTCCCTCTCTCCCTCCCTCCCTCCTTCCTTCCTTCCTTCCTTTCTTCCTTCCTTTTCTCTCTCTCCTTGACTTCTTTCTGTTATTTCCTTTGGGCTAGACCTTAAACAGTAGGCTGAGCAGCCTTGAGGTATAGTTTTAATGAAAGCTTTGCTGAGTAATCATTTGGTATAAAATCCCAACCATTAACAGAAAAAAGAAAGCAATATCTTTTCAAGGTTAACTTTCTTTGTGCTTGTTCCCATGAATAACAGACACTCATTGAATTCATTTAATTATTACCTCAACTCAGCTATATTTAAGGTTCATCTTTCTAATGAGGACAACAAAAAAAATCCATAAGTTTATGAGAGCAGATTGTCAAAGAATATATTCATTAAAGATAAATTAGAACCGTGGAGTTTTGCTTATATAAAATTGTAGCCGATACCTCAGGAAAATGTCTAGGAATACCCTATTGAGTATATAGTTTGTTGTTGTTTTTTAACTAAAAAGATAGAGCCTTCTTTTTCTTCTTTTCTCCCTTTTTTAAATTTTTGGCATTATTGTGTATTCTCACAACCTAAATAAATGTTTTTCTTTTTAGAGATAAACATTATATACGTGAAAGTACTTATTTATTTGGTGGGGTTTAAAATGAGTTTGAAAACTGAATTAACACTTGACTTTACCGAAGCCAGGGTGCTTTTGAAACCTGTGGGACTGTAACAGCTCTAGTCTACTTGAGAAGTAGTCTTTCAAGGAGTATCACCAAACATTAGCTCTCTGTGCAGTTCCTTTCACCTCTACTCAATCCTATTAACAGGTAAATTATGACTATTTGTGGGGGTTTTTTTTGTTTTTTTTGTTTTTTTCTTTTGCAATACGCGGGCCTCTAACTGCTGTGGCCTTTCCCGTAGCGGAGCACAGGCTCCGGACGCGCAGGCTCAGCAGCCATGGCTCATGGGCCCAGCCGCTCGGCGGCATGTGTGATCTTCCCGGACAGGGGCACGAACCCGTGTCCCCTGCATCGGCAGGCCGACTCTCAACCACTGCGCCACCAGGGAAGCCCTGTGGGGTATTTTTTATCGTTGTTATCCGTTTGGAAGATCACAACCATAATGACGGTTGTGAAATAGTAAAATAATGAAAATATAAAATAATGAAAAATAACAAGCGTTGACTTAAATCATTTATTTTTCTGAAAGTTTCCTAAAGTTCCTATGAGAGAGACCATTTAACTCAAGCCACCACTTTCCCAGGAAAGAAGGTGGTAAAGTTTACACTGAAATCCCCAGGCTGAGTACCGGAGAGGGAAGAGAGAGCTGAAAAGATTGGTCTGATGGCAGCTGCTTGTTTGAAAATCTGCCTGGTTCAGGCTTCAGAGTAGACTGTGCCCTCCTGCGCCCGTTTCCCAGCTTGGCGAACTTGCACAACATGCTTACTTTGGCCCTCAGTAAAATGAGAGGAGTTTGCCAGGTTACTTATTTTCGAACTCTGCCCCATGGAGCAGAAGGGTTTCTTGGAGTTTCCTCAAGAGTCCGACGGTGGGTAGAATGGGAGGACCAACCAGAGCTGAGTTTTTTGTAATTGTTTTACAATTTTTTTCAATAAAGGCTTATTTAGTTCAAAAAACTTGATCGCCACCAAGGTCCCTTCTAGTTCAATGAAAGTGCGTTGTTTTGTTTGAAGGGGCTTTTTTTCTTCATTTCTTTTTGAGGGGATAACCTTGTGAATACAGTTGAATGGTAAGAGTACTAAATTACTGTTTGATTTGGAAAAAGCCAAATGAAAGAACTCATGTGAGAGCCTCACTTTCCTTTAAATAGAAAGGAGCGGGGAGAAAAAACACATAGGATTTTAGCCCTGGAAGAAAATCCCCATATTGGGACAAAAGCTTGGAACTGGAAGCAGTGAGGGATTTAAGATAACTCATGAAAAGTGAAAAACTAAAGAGAATATTTGGTCTAACTTTCTTTCTTAATTTGAGATGAAAATCTTATAAATCAGTTTCGTTGTATTTTAAATAGAGATAACATGCCCTACTATTTGCTTCAGGCAATTTTCTAAGCTCTTGGGTAAATTATTATGCATATGTCACAACACATTGCTTCAAAAGTTATTCATGGCTATTAATTGATTTCTCCATGTACATAGAAAACTGTTAAAGCTACCTGAGTTATAGTTCCTTATTGTTTATGGAATACCCAAACAAGCATCTGTATTAAAACTAAATAGGTCAATTTTCTAGCTAATTATAGAGACCTAATTTTTGTTTTTTTGTCATCTTATTGGGATGAGAACAAGGGAAGTAGTTGTTATTCTTGGACCTCGCATTCAGCAATTCCTCACATTTCTTTCTGTACGTGGCAAAATTGGTTAATAGCACCAATTCCAGAGTCAGGCAGCTTGAATAAGTCATTTTACCTCTCTCTGCCACCGTTTCCTTATAATCATATAATTATGTTTTCTACTTCATAAGGTTATTGTGGGGATAAGTGAATTAATATATGTGATGCACTTAGTACAGTCCCTGGCCTATGGTTGTCATGGTTTTGTGTATTATTGTTAGCCATTATTATATTATTGAGAAAGTGGAGGGTTTTTTTTTTTACATCTTTGTTGTAGTGTAATTGTTTTACAATGTTGTGTTAGTTTCTGCGATATAACACGGTGAATCAGCTGTACGTATACATATATCCCCATATCCCCTCCCTCTTGCGTCTCCCTCCCTCCCACCCTCCCTATCCCACCCCTCTAGGTGGTCACAAAGCACCGAGCTGATCTCCCTGTGCTACGTGGCTGCTTCCCACTAGCTAGCTATTTTACGTTTGGTAGTGTATATATGTCGCTGCTACGCTCTCACTTCGTCCCAGCTTACCCTTCCTCCTCCCCGTGTCCTCAAGTCCATCCTCTACTTCTGTGTCTTTATTCCTGTCCTGCCCCTAAGTTTTTCAGAACCTTTTTTTTTTTTTTAGATTCCATATATATGTGTTAGCATATGGTATTTGTTTTTCTCTTTCTGACCTACTTCACTCTGTGTGACAGACTCTAGGTCCATCCACCTCACTACAAATAACTCAATTTTGTTTCTTTTTATGACTAAGTAATATTCCTTTGTATATATGTACCACATCTTCTTTATCCATTCATCTATCGATGGACACCTAGGTTGAAAAGCAGAGATTTTAACCCTTAAGGAAAATCCAACCTACATGAGAGATGAGAGTGTGCTTAGGAAGGTGGAAAGGTATATTCTCACTCATTTGTGAGAATGAGTTCAAGATAAAATTAATATGGCAGCATTCCATGAAAAGGATTGGTACAGAGATACCAGAGTCTTGAGGACCTTTTAGGTTGCTCTATTCCAGGCAAGAGGTAAAGATGTCCTGAACTACTGTCTTAGTTCTTTCAGGCTGCTATAACAAAAATACCATAGTCTAGGTGGTTTATAAACAACAGAAATTTATTCTCACAGTTTAGGAGGCTGAGAAGTCCAAGATCAAAGTGCCAGCAGACCCCATGTCTGGTGAGGGCCCACTTTCCGGTTTATGATGGCCATCTTCTTGCTATGTCCTCACATGGTGGAAGAGCAGAGAGAGCTCTCTGGGGTCCCTTTTATAAGGACACCATTCACGTTCATGAGGACACTACCCTCATGACCTAAAAACCTCCCAAAGGCCCCACCTTCTAGTACACATTCAGGGTTAGGATTTCAGCATATGAATTTTGAGGGGACACGAACATTTGGTCTATTGCAACTACTCTTGTGGTATTGGAGTAGAAGGAAAAGGATATGTGAAAGATTACAGGCTTATATTTAGGGCAAGAGGAAGAAGACACTAACCTTAGACTTGCAAAGTGGGTGAATAGCATTATGGGTATAACAAACCCAGGATTGTTCTTTGGTTTCCAAATAGTTTCTATATATTGAGAAATTATGCAAAATTTAAAAGGCTAATAAAGATTAAATGTGGTCATATCATACATATACTATATGATTTGTATAATAATTAAATAGCTAGTAATCTTCATAAGGGAGCATGTAGATAAGATCTTTTAAAGAATTTTCCTCCAGTTAAGAGAAACATGTCCTATTTTTTCAATTCTCTCATTTTGGTTCCTACATTATATTGTATCAAAGTCTAGAGATTTGTTATTCTTTGATTCTTATATCCCAAGACTACTGATGTAGTGATGTGAGGAACTCAGGCATAAAACCTGTTGAGAATTAAACCATCGCCTTCTGCATTTAATCCAACATACTATGTATGATATATACAGTTTTTCAGAGTTGCAGATAACTTTGGTCTATTATTTCATACATATTTTTATTGTTTTACAGGTTCGATGGATGATGTACTGGATTGTCTTTGCTCTCTATACTGTGACTGAAACAGTAGCAGATCAGACAGTTGCTTGGTAAGTTCTAGTGTTGACAAAAGGCCAGACTATAGACTCTTGATCAGGTGTCCTGAGTTCTTATCCTGCTCCGGCTGTTAACTGAGTGAATTTGATCAGTCTACCTAATTATCCATTGTATCATTTTCTTCATCTGGGTTCCCCACAAGAACATTACTTTCCTTTTGAAATCCCCCAGGTGAAGGCGGCTCATCCTCCCCACATGCCACTCCCTGCCCATCTCCCACACACCTCCCACTACCTTAGAATAGAGAAAACTTGGTTGTCGTTATCTTTTTTCCACACTGATGACTTCAGACTATTTTTTCTTGATTACTTCCTAAACAACTCCTCTTTTGAATCCCACAGCATCTGGTTTTAGCGCTCCCTCCCCATCCTTAAAAGTCTCATCTACAAACATTCAAACCAGATGACGTCAAATCCACACAGAAACACCTCCCAACACCAGCTCCTTGACTGCTCTATTCCAAACAGCATGGGGCAAAATTAAAGCATGTTTATATCCTCAAGGATTTAACATTTTACTGAGGAGCAGTACTTAATGGAACAACTTGAATCTCCTTGTGCTGTATTTCAGTAGTGTATTTCCATCTATACCTTTCCATCACTTGGAGAAATCCTCCTTTCAAGCTCTTTAAACTTTTACTACCTTGCCACTATCTTCAACCGCCTTTGCTGCATAAACCTTCATCCTAAATTAGCCCAACAATTGCTTTTCTTTGCTTCTTTACCCAGGCTACCAGTTGAGCTGAAAAAAACCAATCAGCTGCTCATATTGGTATCAGTTTGAAAGTCACCATTCCTTTTACTTGCTTTTGGTCAGTGGCTACTTCCATTCCCTCCTGTATCTGTTTCAAACATTTAACTGTTCTCTGCTTAAACTGTCTTTCTGACTGCTATTCTCATCATATTCTCATAGCACACTAGGTCACATTGGATTGCTAGGAAAAAACAGAAGTCATCAGACTTAAATGTTCTTAACAACCTGCCTTTATTTATCAACTTCTCTGTATCTGCATTGATCTTTCTCTTCCTCTGTCCCACAGCTCATTTATTTACCTGTTATGTTTTGGTGTAGGGGCTTGGGGAGGGTTGTTTGTTTGTTTGTTTGTTTTTAAGTGGCAGAACACAGATTCCAAGCCATGCTAGGTCTCTTAAATTTCAATGCTCTCTCTTTAAAGACTTCTATTTTTTTTTCCTGATTGCAGATGTAGCATATATACACTATTAAAAAGTAAACAACGTAGAAAAAGCTTACCAGGAGCAGTGATAGTCCAGAAACTCCTCTGTAACTGCACTGTGCAGAGACCCTTTGTAGACTACACTAGAGTCATTCCTCACTGCCCCCTGCCCATCTGTCTCATCAGAAGAGCCCAGATTTTTTTTTATCATGTATCTTAGTACTTCGTGTACCACAAGATGCTGGTCCCCTCATGATGTATTAGTTAACTTTCGCTGTGGCAACAAACAACCCTAAAAGCACAATGGGTTAGAAAAACAAACATTCATTTCTTGCTCAAGCTATATGAGTACAAATGGTGGGCTGCAACTTTGCTGGGCTCAGCTCAGTTTTAAGTGTCTTCTAGTCCAAGGACCAAGGCTGAAGAAGCAGCTGTTCTCGTGGCAAAAAGCAAAAGTTGAAAGCAAGAGGTTGGGGGTGTTGAGGTGAGGGAGTCAAAGGGCATTTAAAGCGTCTCCTTGCATGTGACATATGTCACACTCACATTCTGTTGCCCAAAGCAGGTCACATGGCTAAAGCCATGGTCATTGCTTGAGAAAGTGTATTCAGCCTACCGAGAAGGCACTGAAAAATCAAGTGGGAAGGGGCATTGGTATATTACCCTAATTCCCAGGTTACCACAATGGCAATTCCATTCTCCTTTCAAGTGAACAGTTTAGGTCTGTCAAGTGCTGCAGTTCTGGCCAAATGAAATTGGAGGGGACATTTTCTGGGAGTTCTAAGGGAAGGAGATGTGTATATGGTGTAACACTGTACACTTGGCGCTTATAAAGGTGACTCCTGATGCTTGGAGGTGTGTCCAGGTAATGCCGTGACAGCTACGCTCTGCAGACAGTGTGGGCGTACCTTACTATCATGGTTATAAATGCTATTAATGCCCTTTCTGAACTGCCACAGTCAGTTTGGCAGCTTGGCTGTGCTTGTCTAAACGGAGCAATCTTGTACTAGAAGGTGTGAATCACTCCAGGGGTCAGGTTGCTCTGATCTGTATAGTTAATGAGATTTTGTCAATTCAAACATGGTTGTTTCCCTGATCACAACTTTTTACACGTGAAAACTTAACCCAGTGAATGAACTTTGTTAAAAGGTTTTTTTGCAGTTTCCTCATGGTCTGTACTTTATTTTCACTGGCGTTTTTTTCTAATTTTTTCTCATTAGGTTCCCCCTGTACTATGAGCTTAAGATTGCTTTTGTCATATGGCTGCTCTCTCCCTATACCAAAGGAGCAAGTTTAATATATAGAAAATTCCTTCATCCACTACTTTCTTCAAAGGAAAGGGTAAGATATACAGATTATTTCCACAAATGACTTGTTAGAAATGTATATCATCACATGCTATATGCTATAAAGTGAGTGAAACTATTATGTTAAGGGGGAGAAGTCCCAGTTTTCAGCTTTCTGACACTCTCTTTAAATAAAATTAATATTTATGGGTTTGATTTTTTTTCTAGGAGATTGATGATTATATTGTACAAGCAAAGGAACGAGGCTATGAGACTATGGTAAACTTTGGGCGGCAAGGTTTAAATTTAGCAGCTACTGCTGCTGTAACTGCAGCAGTGAAGGTAATTTTTTATTTACCTATTTTTTTTAATCCAGTGTCACATTGTCAATGAATAAAGTAGGGTGGCTTTTTACTTCAGATCATTATAAAATTTTGGCACAAATTTACCTTCTGTTTATTTCTGTAATACTAGGAAAAAAACAAGTAGATTATTTTAAAGGCATTTTAACATGTGTTTTCTATAATTGTTGGATATTTTGAAACTCTTAATTGATGACAAAATGAGAGCTAGTTAGTAAGTAAAACATACTGGAAAATGTCATTTTGTCATAATTTTCCTACTTTATAACCTTAAAATAGTTTTGAGTAAATCACATTTAGTAAAGATGACCATTCTTTCTTTCTCTGTCTTTGGTGTTTTTTCCCTCTCTCTCTCCATGGCAATATCTTGGTAGGATTTCTGGCTTACTTCTGCACCCATACTTCAACCAGTTTGAGGTAACTGATTATTCAAAATAAGGCATGAAAAATTTCTGTTCTTAAAACTTAAGATTTTACTTAGCCAATTACTAATGTCATGTGTTGTGTTTTGCAAGCCAAATTATCAAAGGAATGAATGCCTTCTGTGAAAATTCGCATTATGGCTTTTGGATTTCTTTGCATGTAGTAATTAGTGTGGTTTATTTTAAATACCATAGCATAATTGGTTTTGGTGTGTAGTGTATGGAAGGAAAATAGGTTTCAGATCCAGAAAGTGCTGAGTGTGACTTTCTAAGTAACCATCGGTGATTGACTTAACTTCTCAATTGGGAGGATGGCGAGGAGGAGAAAATGAGGTGGAAGAGAACTAAAGTCCTCGTCTGACACCCCAAAGAAGATGCTTTCTGAGTTTTTCATACTTAAAAGCAACATTCAACATGATTCTATGGCAAAAAACTAAAAATTAACTTTCGACATCAAAAATTGCTTAGAAAATATAGACATTTTAGAACATTGTTTTAGGAAACATAGAAGCACACAAATCCCATTTGCCCTCTTTACTTTTTTTTTTTCTTTATTTGGCTGCATTGGGTCTTCGTTGCCATGCGCAGGCTTTCTCTAGTTGCGGTGGGCGAGCGGGGGCTGCTCTTCTTTGTGGTGCGTGGACTTCTCATCGCGGTGGCTTCTCTTATCGTGGAGCACGGGCTCTAGGCGCGCCGGCTTCAGTAGTTGTGGCTCACAGGCAATAGTGCGCAGGCTCAATAGCTGTGGTGCATGGGCCTAGTTGCCCCCCCCGCCCCCGGCATGTGGGATCTTCCTGGACCAGGGTGCAAACCCACATCCCCTGCTTTGGCAGGCGGATTCTTAACCACTGCACCACTAGGGAGGTCCCTGCTCTCTTCACTTTAACGCTTAAATATAGTTTATAATCCTGCGTACTCTGTGAGACACCTCCCTACATATTGTCACTATTTTGTAGGATATTTATTTTATTTTGACTTACTACTTCCAAACTCTGTGTGAGGAATCAGAAACCCCAACTAGATTATCTTATCCTGGTTCCCTTCTTATTTATTTTTATTTTATACATACTTTGCTGCCATCAGTATTTAACATCCGATATATTTATTCAACATGTATGTATTTAATGTATTTAACATCTATATGTATGTATGTTTTTTAATATTTATTTGTTTGTTTGTTTGTTTGTTTATTTTGGCTGTGCCCGGCCTTAGTTGCAGCATGTGGGATCTAGTTCCCTGACCAAGGATTGAACCTGGGCCCCCTGCATTGGGAGCCAGAGTCTTACCCATTGGACTTCCAGGGAAGTCCCTATGTATGTATTTAATGACTACCATATGGTAGGTGCTTGGGATGCAGCAATGAACAAAATAGATACAGTCCTTACCCTCACAGGCTACTACTGTCAAGCTGAATGTCTGTATTCACTAACTGAAAATTTTACCTCATCTTTGGTTGCTTAGAGCCTACCCCTTGCCCTCCACTATGAAAATAAGCATTATCTGGTAATTCCCTGTCAGTGCAGTGGTTAGGACTCCGCGCTTTCACTGCCGAGGGCCAGGGTTCAATCCCTGGTCGGGGAACTAAGATCCCACAAGCCTCACGGTGCAGACAAAAAAAATAAATAAAAAATAAAATAAAAATAAGCATCGTCTCACAGAAACACTTTGCTGTAGAAAGGCTATAAAAGTAATTCTATACCTACGTTTCTGTGGCTTCTTTGTTGTTCAATGTTTGTTTTTATTTATACATTTAACAAATCAAAACCACCTCCCCACTTCAAAGGCAGGAAACAGAGATCATAAAAGTCATCTAAGTTACCACTGCAGAACAATCAAACACACATCCTGGAATTTGACTTCACTTTGGAATGCTCTCTTTTGTTTGTGATCTCGTGATCCTTTTGTTATCAAGCTCACTGTAAGAGGCAACCCTCACCATTCTCCTCATGAGCACAGGAATGTTGGCATCAACCATACTGGATTTTATGCATTAGAAATAGTCGTTAAATATGCTGAACACAGCATAATGTTAACACTATTTGCCTCAAGTTTTACTGTGCCTATTTTAAAGCAGGGGAGATTAGTTTCATCTCTGGAGATGTCAAAGAAAGGCAGTGTGATGGAAGAATCACTGAACCAGACACTTCCTAGCGAAGAGTAAATTGAAACTGAAATAGGAAATAGGTCAAGTTTAAGGAGAAACTGCAAGAAAGCTAATAGAAAGACTTGAGAATTATTAAACATTTTTTTTTTGCAATATATGGTTTGTTAAAAATATCTTTCAGGCTAAAAATATTGGACTCTCAGTGTGACCTTTAAAGATCAGCAGTACCCCTGACTAGTTTTCCCAGGTTGAACCGCCTGAGCATGTTAAAGATGAAAATAGGAATCTAATCAGAACATTTATTACACCGTAAAGCAATTTTCTGAAAATGTTACTCAGTTCTGTGACCTCATTACCAGGCATCTGTTACCAAGGTCAGTGTACAAGTTCATTTTGGCTGAGCAAAGCACAAGCATATGAAGGAGCTTCAAGGATTTTACTGAGGATGTTCAACATCCCATAGCTTTCACACGAGAAATGCCAGAGGCTTTTGTACAGATGAGCAACACTCCTGCCGGACGAAGGACAGATGAAGCAAAGTACTTTTAGTCGTATTAACCATCTCTTGGGATTTTCTTTGGCAGCCTCTTCTTGGTGAATTCTTCGGCAGATATTATAAAAAATCAATTATCACAGAAATGAGAGTATTAAAGTTAAAATTTCTGAAATCTTATTGACTGCAAATGATGATAATTAGGTCAAAAATCCTGACATCTTGCTGTCTGTTTTAATGGCTTTCTGTTTGTGAAACGATTTGAGGAGATTCAGCTGCTTAGTATCATCCATTTAAAAAGGGAGCACTTCTTTAGACAATGAAGAAGAAAGATCATATTTTTTTCTCTGCAGTCTAGGAAAGCACAATATTATAATGAAAGTTGAATTCTATAGCAGTTGAGTTGTCAGCATTTTTTAGCCCTGATTCTGCCAGTGAGTTTTGGGGCAGTCATCTGCACTGATCTCTCTAAGTATTTATTTTCTTACCCGTAAAATGCAGGGGTAAAAACTGACTTCTAAAACCCCTTATGCTCTAAAACAATGGTTCTCAACTGGGGGCAGTTTTGCCCTCCAAGGGACATTTGGCAGTGTCTGGAGACGTGGGTTGTCACAAATTAGAGGGGGGTGCTGCCAGTGGCATCTCAGGTAGAGGACAAGGATGCTGCTTAATATCCTACAAGGCACAGGACGGCATCCCCCCCCACACACACAAAATTATCTAGCCCAAAATAGCGTTAGTGCTGAAGTCGAGAAACCCTGCTCTAAAAGTATGATGAGTCAGAAAAGGCTAAAAGTATACATAAATATGTATAGGTAGTTTGGGTGATGGGTTACAAATAATCTTTCTTTTTTATATTTTTCTCTATTACAAACATTCTTCAATAAATATATATTGCTTTAATCTTAAAACCACTGAAATATATTTTTCACTTAATGCAAATGCAATCAATTCCATTCTAGGCTTGATCAGATTGTGTTAAATGTCCATAGGGAAAAGCCATTTCCCTAAAAACTGGGGACTGACCCTATCTGCAGTTATAATGTAGTATGTCAAAGATCAACAAGAAATAGAGCTTCATGGCTGTTCATTATTGAACAGTATCATAAAAATTGTTCCATGAAAGATTGTTTGTATGCTTGTAAGATTATAAAGCATTGCTGATTATGTTTTTGAATTCTTAATTTAAAAATGTGAAGAGGATAGGTTGAGGTTTTATACAAAGATGCTGATAAGCACAGTAAATTCCCCTTACTTAACACAAAATATAGTAACTTTAATGTAATATATAACCAGGATATGAAGTATTTAAACAAAGGCAGAATCGTTTGGGTATAAAGAAGTTAGTATTAGTCATACATGCAGGGTCCCTTTTCACAGATGCCAACTGTAGACTTGGATACTTGAGCAGACATTCAGATTCTCTAGTGCCCTTGGATATAAGTGAGCTCTGTGTGAGGCCAGCTCGGGAAGCTGCTTCTCAGCTGAAGGATTCTTTCCAGAGCTTGAATGTGTTAGATTTGGTCCCAGCCCTCCCGCCCAGTCAGCCCTTCCGCCCAGTCAGCCCTTACAGTGTTCTTAGTTTCTTAAATGGATGTTCTGGGCTCCAAATTCAAACCCCGAGAACTCAGAGTTACCTGAAGGCAGGAACACTTCTGCTAATGATGTGAAATATTCTACAGAATGCTTTTTAATTACTTTGACTTTTGCTTTCTCATCATAATCTTTCTGTTACCTTCTCTTTGATTTTTAGGACCAATTTTAACAGTGTACATACATTTCTGTAGAGAATAGGATCTAAAATACTGGGATATAGAATTACCTTGTAACGCCCTTCCAACTTACTGACTAAGACTGCTCTTTCCACACGTATTTTCCTCCTCAGACTAGAACCTGTCTTCTTTTTGTTTTTTTTGCGGTACACGGGCCTCTCACAGTTGTGGCCCCTCCCGTTGCGGAGCACAGGCTCCAGACGCGCAAGCTCAGCGGCTATGGCTCACGGGCCCAGCCGCTCCGCGACATATGGGATCTTCGCGGACCGGGGCACGAACCCGTGTCCCCTGCATCGGCAGGCGGACTCTCAACCACTGCGCCACCAGGGAAGCCTTTACAGTGCTCTTTATTTGTTCACATGGGTTCTATTATATTTACTGTCCAGCGTCCTTTCCTTTCAGCTGGAATGACTTCCTTTAGTATTTGTTATAGGGGAGGGCTGCTAGTGACAAATTCTTAGTTTTTAAAAATCTTTGTCTGAATTTGTTCTTTAAAGGACAGTTTTGCTGGATAGTGAATACACACTTGAAACTTTTTTACTCTCAAAACTCTGAATATGTCATGCCAGTGCTTTCTGTCCTCCATGGTTTCTGAAAAGGCATTGTTAATTTAAACAAAATCTCAGTATCTTTTGTATTGTTATTGACAAGTGACTATAATTCCCTGTTTATGCCCTCAAAATGTAGAAACAATTTTTCTTTTAATTATGGGAGTAAGGGATTTAGATATTGGAAAAATGATCAAGAAATGGATCAGAAATTCTTATAGTATACTATGTTACAATTAAAACTTCACTGTACCATCTATGACTAATTTTGTAATATGAAGAAATTTTTGAAAAAAATCGCTCATCTGCCTAAACATCACACTGTTTTCATTTTTTAATATTTTTCCCTAACTATAACCATACTGCATACTTGTGCCCATATTTTGCATGATTTAGAATTCTGAGGTGGAGGGTAGGTATTTCCACTTCACACTGTATTGCAAACATAATTCCCTTATTAATGGACTTTTTGTGCTGAATATATAAAAATTAGAGGGAATAGGTCTGCCTTTAGCTGCAATTATTTTATAATGACACCTCTCCTTTAAAATGGTCACATTAGATACTTATAATTTATGTAATATTTTTGAAGTTCAAAATAGTGTAATAGTTCTCTCCCCATATTAGTTCTATTCTGGACCCATTAGAAAATATACAGTGGAAAAAAATGATTTTTCAAAGTGATAATGGCTGTTGAAGTGCCATGGGTCTTCAAGGAGGGTACAGCCCCTTTTTGCTTTTGTCTACAGTACCTGGCCTTTTTGGGGGATTGATAATACTTGGGGCTAGAGGGTTGGTTACTCAAGGGCTACATTAAAATACACACTGTATATAGATCACCCAGATACCTCAGGGTTGGTCCTTGCTCACCTTTAATATAAACCTGAAGCAGACTCCTAGTGGATGGTGTAATCTACCCATGTAGATACCCATGACTGTACCTGTAGTTTGGTGCTGAAACTCTCTATATAAACTCCAGTGTTTACATTAAAACATGCTGCAACCTATGGAGAACTTTGCAACAGTCAAGAGTAATGAAAAAGAAGAGGCATAAAAAGAGTATTTAGTTTACTTATTACATACTCAATATCAGTCCCATACCACGTGCACTCAGAGAACAGCAGAAGCTGAAGATTTGTCCCTCTCTAGTTTCTTAAAATCTTGCTCTGGAGGCAAAATATATAAAGTACAGCAATAGAACTAACATTAATTTGTGAGTTCATTTGTGAGATATGCCCGAAGTAATTAGTTGATTATAATCATTAAAGATACCAAAGTTTGTGGGTGCTATAAAGCTAGACTGATTCAATGGCACTTTGACTCATTTGCATGCTGAGATGTACTTTCTTGAGTGGGAGGGTTTGGGAGTTACAGTAGAGGGTATCATGGACGTATATTATCATTCACTTGGCAATAGGCAAACAGTCAAGAATTGCTGAGAGAGGGCACAGAAATACAAAGGTAGGAATAGAGAAAATGACAGTTCTGAGAAAACAAGGCAACTGTTTCAGATGACCACTGATCACTTCCTTTTAGTGTGTGTCTGAAGTCTTCTGTCATCCTCTATTTAAGAAGCAAATTGTATCCGATAAAAAGAGAGTATAATGAATTAAACCTTGTCAAGAATGTTTAAAGATGTGTGGAATCCAATTATTTTTATTGAGGATATAGACCCTTTAATAATTCTTTTTCATAATTCAAAAAATATGGTAGAAATTACAAAGCTTTAAGTGGGGTATGAAAATGGTGTTTGGGTTTGACATAATAGGATATCACTCACTCGGAGTAGCTAAATCAAGACTCATGAAACAAGACCTTTTTCTTCAGTGTAAAATACATGTTAGCAGTAATGTTGGAATGTTTATAGTGCCCTAGGCTTTGAAATTTAGAGATGAACCATTATGGATGAGTTTCTACAGTTACATTATAACTAGAGGCAATCATAAATTCACATGTGTGAGAAGAAGAAATAATAAGTGTAAAAAAAAACCTTTAGAAGAATATTTTTAATCCAGCTATAAATAAGAAATGAGTCATCTGTATGCTATGCAAATTTTCAAGTGGGTAAATTTAGAAATTATTTTTTTTTCTTTACAAAACTTTATACTTTGGGGGGAAATGTAGTTATGTCTGATAAGTTCAGAAATGTCCCTTTCAAAGCTGTGCAATGATGAAAAGCATTGAACTTTCTACAGTAATGGGAATGTCCTGTATCTGCACTGTCCAATACAATAGCCACTAGTCACATGTGGCTACTGAGCATTTGAAATGTAGCTAGTGCAATTAAGGAGCTGAATTTTTAAACTTATTTAATTTTAGTTAAATTTAAATACCCACTTGTACCTAATGTCTACCATATTGTTAAGGCTTTAAAATGACTTAAAGTCAAATTGTGTGTATTAGTAGATATGCTTTGCCAGATGGTGAATTCATTAACTGAATATCTTTCATACTCAAGATTCTTTGGCTCTTAAATTTTTTTTACTGTGTTCTAGGTAGAGCCATTACCATTCCTGACTTAGCTTTAAAACAGCATCTCTAGTCATGTACCAAAACGTTCATTGCAGCTCTATTTACAATAGCCCGGAGATGGAAACAACCTAAGTGCCCATCATCGGATGAATGGATAAAGAAGATGTGGCACATATATACAATGGAATATTACTCAGCCATAAAAAGAAACGAAATTGAGCTATTTGTAATGAGGTGGATAGACCTAGAGTCTGTCATACAGAGTGAAGTAAGTCAGAAAGAGAAAGACAAATACTGTATGCTAACACATATATATGGAATTGAAGAAAAAAACAATGTCATGAAGAACCTAGGGGTAAGACAGGAATAAAGACAGACCTACTAGAGAATGGACTTGAGGATATGGGGAGGGGGAAGGGTGAGCTGCGACAAAGCAAGAGAGAGGCATGGACATATATACACTACCAAACGTAATATAGCTAGCTAGTGGGAAGCAGCCGCATAGCACAGGGAGATCAGCTCGGTGCTTTGTGACCACCTGGAGGGGTGGGATAGGGAGGGTGGGAGGGAGGGAGACGCAAGAGGGAAGAGATATGGGAACATATGTATATGTATAACTGATTCACTTTGTTATAAAGCAGAAACTAACACACCATTGTAAAGCAATTATACCCCAATAAAGATGTTTAAAAAAAAGAAAAAGAAAAAGAAAATTAGGTATAGGCTATGTTATAATAAAGTAGAATTTATGTTTAAAAAAAAACAAAAACAGCATCTCTTTTACTTTAAAAAGTTCTTCTGAATCATAAACGTAAGCCTCAAAGTGCTACTTTTAGGAGAGAGAAATATTATGGATGATGTTTACAGAGGGGATAAGCTCATTATACATTTTTTTACATTCTTGAATTAAATTTAAAGCTGAAATGTTTGGGAGTGGAATGTACTGATGTCTACAACTTGCTTTGAAATGCATTAAAAATTGATTTATGGATGGATAGATGGTAAATATGTGGTAAAGCAGATATAGCAAAATATAAACGATATATGGGTATCCACTGTAGAATTCTTTCAACTTTTCTGAATGTTTCATTTTAAAATGAATAAGCTTCATGATAAAATGTTGGAGGAAAGTTAAATGGAAACATATTAAGTATTTTAAAGTGCATTTGTTTTCTTGGATCTATCACTTCTCTGTTAAATAGAGCCAAGGAGCAATAACTGAACGTTTACGAAGTTTCAGTATGCATGATTTAACAGCTATCCAAGGTGATGAGCCTGTGGGACAAAGACCATACCAACCTCTCCCAGAAACAAAAAAGAAAAGTAAACCAGCCTCCGGTGAATCACCAGGTGTGCTTGTTTTGTTTTAATGTATTGTTCTTTCATAATTGGGATCTTGAGTCAAGATGGGTACTAAAATAATGCCTGGTCGCTAGCTGAATTTGGGTAAACAACATTTATTTTTAAGCTTATATTCTTGAGCTTCACACTTAACTGTATGTAGGTCTCCTTCTCTAAATTTTCTCTAAATAAGGTTAGTGCTTGCTTTTTGTTGACTCTGGAGATAATCCAATTAAGAAAGTAGCAGTAGGACCTTGTGCTGCCATGAATTTTTAAAAGCAGTGGATGTGGTTACCCTCTACCACCAGCACTAGTTCTGACCTGTGATCTCTAACTTGCTACTCAAACTATGTAGTGGCATCTGAGTTTTATAATTAAACCCTCTTTAATGTAAGTGCTGTGAACAAAGAAGGATATTGACTTACAAGATAAAAAGTTTTAAGCAGGTGACAAAAGATGACAGGTTTGAAAATAGGATTACTCCCATGGAAAAATGTGTTGAAATCATGACTTGTAGACTAAGAACTAACTTGTTCTAAATAAGCATGTCATAGTTGATACGTTCTAAAATTTTAGTAAATTTTTGTGATCTTAGAAACATACACATAAACAAAAAGACATAGTCCCTTAGTCATTTTTTTTGCATATAAGAAAGTTGTAGTTCAAGGCCTAATTGAGAACTAAGATCTTCAGGATATTTCTTACTAAAGTATTATTAGGTCCATAAGGTACAGGGCTACTTGATCTTTTTTTTTTTTTTTTTAAGTAGAAGTTTTCTTCTGAGGGAGACTGAAAATCATCCTTTATAATTAAAACCAATTTGAAAAGAGCAGTCCCAAAGTGAGAGAGTAGCATTGACATATATACACCACCAAATGTAAAATAGATAGCTAGTGGGAAGCAGCTTGGTGCTTTGTGACCACCTGGAAGGGTGGGAGGGAGACGCAAGAGGGAGGGGATATGGGGATATGTGTATACGTATAGCTGATTCACTTTGTTACACAGCAGCAACTAACACACCATTGTAAAGCAATTATACTCCAATAAAGATGTTAAAAAAAAAAAAAAAGAGGGACTTCCCTAGGGGCACAGTGGTTAAGAATCTGCCTGCCAGTGCAGGGGACACGTGTTCGATCCCTGGTCCGGGAAGATCCCACATGCCGCGGAGCAACTAAGCCCGTGAGCCACAACTACTGAAGCCAGTGCTCCTAGAGCCCGTGCTTCGCAACAAGAGCAGCCACTGCAATGAGAAGCCCACGCACCACAACGAAGAGTAGCCCCCGCTCACCACAACTAGGGAAAGCCCGCGTGCATCAACGAAGACCCAACACAGCCAAAAATAATGAGTTAATTAATTTTAAAAATGAAAGAAAGAAAAGAACAGTCCCTTCTTATAAAGGAAAAATAGTGAACTTTCTTCTAAGTTCTCCCCAGAATGAATAACTTTAAAAAGCTGGTGTCTATTATCCAAGAGGTAGTAATTAAGTATTGGCCATTGATTAAGGTACTAATGCCTTTAAGAGTGAGGAAACTTTGAACCTTGAACCATCATCCTTAATACTTTAATAATGTAAAAGTAGTCCCTAATAGGCATTTTCTTAATATGCATTTTAAAAATGAGGTATACTGATTTTGTTTATGGGGACTGCTATATATATTTTGCTGATTTGGACCAGTAATCTGAGCCCTTTATCAGCAGTTTATTCATAATTATACCTTAGAATTGGTTAAGAATTGTATTCCAATTATTTAAATAAAACCAGGATTATAAATTTGAAAATCCATGACACTATTTTTATGGTATCCATCTATTAAATTTAAAATGGTGTGACTAAAATATTTTAGGATAGTGAGGTGTTAATTAGTTCTGTTAAATTTTAAACCATGAAATTAAAAGAACAAGAAAGTTGGGAAACAAGCACTCTGATACACTTTTTATGAGAGTTTAAAGTAGAACAATCGTTTTGGATGACAGTCTGGCAAGAATTATCAAAATGTATTCTTTTTAACTCAGCAAGAAACTTCTAAGAACATGTCGTAAGGAAATAATCAGACAAGTGTTCAAAGATACAGGTACAAAGATGTATGAATGTTCATCTTGTTGTTGTTTATAGTAACAAAATATTGGAACAAACCAAATTCCTAAGAGAAATGGGTAAGAAAAAAGGTGACTATTAGCCATGAAATATAATAATGTCAGTTTATACTTACTGACATGAAAACATATCCAGATTGGGGGCGGTGGGAACAATAACACTGAAACAATGTGTGTGTTATGATCCTATACCATAGAGGCACAGTAGATAGACGATGAAATGGATTAATATATGTAAAGTTGTTTTTCAGATATATGTACATAGAGGAGAGTCTGGAAGAGAGTCTAAATGCTGCTAACTAAAACGTTAACAGCATTTACCTCTGAGTTGTGGGTTTTTAGTGATTTTTTTTTTTAATCAACCTGTTACCCTTAAAATCAGAAATAAAACAAACCTACTTCTTGTTTTGGAAACAATTAAGGTATTCATTTTTTTATATCATGATTTTTTTTCTATTTTATTTACTTCCAAACTTCCTCAAGAAAAGCAAGTTGGTACATTTTTTAGTGTGGGACGTATATTTATATTGCAAAGTCTGTTTACTAATATTTCGTGTAATCAATACAGTTAGCTCAGAACACAAGCAAATTCACATATTTGGAAAAGTGCTTCCCTTTTGAAAACTAGTAATGGCTTGCTCTGAGCGGTTTGAGGTTAGCTGATTGAGAGAAGTCTTGCTTTGATGAAGTTACTCAAGTCTGCATGTTGTCACTATGGGAAAAAGAGCTCCCTCCAAATGCTTTTTTGTAAGAAAATAGACACCTTAAACATGATGTTCACTTCCTTAGAAAGAACACCACATTCTGATAAGTGGAAATATTTTTTCTGCAAAGAACCTGCTGCTCCCATATTAGTTAAAAGTGGTTCAATATTCAGTTTCGATATACCAGCACATAAGGAGATTTCTGTTTTGTTTTTGATGCTTTACATATTTATTTAATCCTTAAGATGACTATGCAGGTTAAATATTTTTATCCTTATTTTGTAGATGAATAAACTGAGACTTAAGGAGATTAAATTACTTGTCAAAGACCACATACTCAATGACAGAAATGAAGTATCCAAGGTTCCTAACCTAATTCTTACTCTTTTTTTACTTCATAAAGAGACTGCACTTAGTGTGGCACTTGGGCGGGAACAATGAATTGAAACAATTTGGCAGGGGTGACCTTAGAGATGCTTTAGTCAAAGATGGCAAATAAGTGACATGCCTCCTCTCTGCTCCTGTGCCCATGGCAGCCATTGCTAATGGATTGTGGCACTTCCCACGCTGGCTCAGAATCCCTCTCAACACAGTGCCCCAGACAGCTCAACTGGCTCAGAGTTGGCGTTCACATAGAAACGTATTCATCTCCCATCCGCCTCAACAGCTTACCAGATAGGAAAACTGAGACCCAGAGAGGCAAGACTCACTCAAGGTCTTAACAGCTGTTAAGTGGCCAAGTACTCATTTCTCCTCACATGGATCCAGGGCCCCTTCCACCACGATAACTAAGGCCCCTTCCAAGTCAACTTTCCATGATTCTGCACTTACATTAATACATGAATACATGGAAACTGCTTAGAACAGTGCCTGGTCCATGCTAAGTACTGGATCAGTATTGGCTATTATTATTATAAGGGGGGAGGGGGGACTTAAAATATACCAATTCTAAGATGTACGAGCTATGAATAAAACCAGGTCAGTTTGCAAAAGCATCTGCTACTTTTCCAAAAATGGTAACAGAGCTCTGGGCCGAAGGTGGTCAAACAGCTGCAGCCTTAGGCCTCAGGGCCCCGGCAACACAGACTCCTCATTCTTAGGTCCTCAGTCACTCCCCCTCAGGAATGTGCATGGACAGCCCCATTCTGAGGATTTTGCCCAGTCTAGACTGATGACAGAAAGCAGCCGACCTTGGCGTCACCTTTGTCGGCGCCAGCAGCACCCCACCAGCTTCCCCTTGCCTGGGCTTGGAAGACCTGCAAACCATTCAGCCAACTTGCCGGGCTCCTGTTCAGATAGGGCATCCAGATTCGGGCTTTTCTCGTAATCTCGGGTCTCCCCTTCCTCCGAAGTCTTTAAAATCCTCGGACAACTTTGATTAATACTATTTCCACCACTCACAGCAGAATTTTCATACATACTCATTTTCAGGTTTTTAAGTGGAATAGAAAATGAATATTTTATTGAAGATATTTGACTTGACTCCTCTCTTTTTGATGCAGTTTAGTTTAATAACTTGCTAAATTAAGCTTGTCGACTTCATCTCCTAACAGATCCCAAATTTGGCTCCTGTCTCCTCAATCCCTGGACTCTTTATCATTTCTGGCCTGTTGTACTGCAGTAACCTCCCTGCTTCCAGTCTCATCCACTTCTGATTCATTCTCCAAAGTACAAGAAGACTCTTTTAGAGAAACAAAATCTAATCATGTCGCCCTCCAATTAAAATGCTTCAATGCCCCCTCCCCCTTGCTCTCTGAAGCCCAAGCTCAATAGCCTGTGGTATATTAGCTCTCCAGACTTGGCATCGCACTCCTTCATGTGCTCGGTGTATAGAATTATGAGTCTTTCAGGATTCGGCTTGGCCACCACCTCCTACAAGAAGTCTTCTCTTACCACCCACTTCCCCTACTGTGTGCTCCTGTAGCACCTTGGCCTTGTCTTCTATGTACAGCGTTTATAACAGTATTGTCATGACCACTAGACTCTGTCTCCTCTACTGGACTATATATTTCTTAGGGTAGAAGAAGACAGTTGTGTGTTTCTGAACATAGTATCCCCCATAATTTAGTACACTGCCTCACACATAGTAATATTTTAAAAATATCAATACTTGGGCTTCCCTGGTGGCACAGTGGTTGGGAGTCCGCCTGCCAATGCAGGGGACGCAGGTTCGTGCCCCGGTCCGGGAGGATCCCACATGCCACGGAGCGGCTGGGCCCGTGAGCCATGGCCGCTGAGCCTGCGCATCCGGAGCCTGTGATCCGCAACGGGAGAGGCCACAACAGTAGGAGGCCCATGTACCGCAAAAAAAAACAAAAAAAAATCAATACTTGTGGAATAACAAATCAATCCATCACTTTTCCTGAAACAATATTTAGAAAACTAAGATTTTTTTTTAGTTGAAATTAGGAAGCAAAGAATAAGATGTATATATAATTATCGTTTTGAATGCAATTCCAATTCCTAATCACATGAAGTGAGAGGCAGTTAAAATAGCAAGGGCCGTGTTTGTTGAAATGTAGCCTTATGCTTCATCTGTGGCCTTAGAGAACTTTTTGATCACAGTTGCTTCCTTTCTGATTCTTTCCTTGATTCCTTATTCTATGTTTTACCTTAGTTTTATTATATTGGGATTAGGGGTATTATATAAGCAGCAGCAATAGAGAAGAATCTACAAATGGCAATCTAAAAATATTTTTTCTGGTTTATATTCCCCATTTATAGAAGTAATACAATTTTTAAAATAAAAATTTGGCAACTTTTTTTTAAAAAGGAAAAATTAAGAAATTTAAAATCACTTAAAAGCCCACTTCCAACAGATATAATGGTTTCATTTTTATGTTTTTCAACACTTTGTTTCTATACATACATTTTTTTCCACTTAATATTGCACCAAGAGGGTTTTCCCAGGACTACTGACCGCATTCCCTCCCCTGGCCACACTGACCTCCTCACAGCTCTTCCACACAGTTATGCTTCCCAATGCCCCAGGGCCTTTGCACATGCTGTTATGTCTACCTAGATCAAACTTCCTCCGACTGCTGCAGGAAAGCAAAGGATCTTGACCTATGTAATGACTGATTCTACTTCCAAATCCTTCCTGATTTCTGGCCTAGAAGTCTGGCAGCATAAAATTGTACTTCCTAAATATATAATTAAAGATGTTTATCTTATTATGAGACCAGGAAGCTTTTTTTTTTAATTAATTTTTATTGGAGTATGGTTGCTTTACAATGTTATGTTAGCCTCCACTGCACAACAAAATCAAAATGAATCAGCTATACACATATAGATATCCTCTCCGTTTTGGACTTCCCTCCCATTTAGGTTACCACAGTGTATTAGGTAGAGTTCCCGGTGCTATACAATATGTTCCCATTATAACTCTTCATAGTTTGCTTAGTGATGCTCAAGTTATTCATGTCCTGTGAGAGCAGATTAATAAACAATTATTCAGTACACTTTTCTTCACATGCAAGAAGTCCATCTCTTGCCCCCTCCTGAGCCTGGAAAACCTGCTACTTTTTTCTCATCTGAAGAAGGTATCTATGCTCCTTACCTTTATTGAAGGAGAATTTGAAACATAATGGGGCCTTGTAACCTCACCCCTGTCTTTTTTTTTTGGCCACTCCCTGCGGCTTATGGGATCTTAGTTCCCAAGCCAGGGATGGAACCCAGGCCCTCAGCAGTGAAAACACAGAGTCCTAACCACTGGACCACCAGGGAAGTCCCTCACCCCTGTCTTTAAAACCTACCTAGTACTCCAGTTGCCTTAGACTTGAGCCCCTCTCTTGCGCCATCCAGGCAGTAGTTCTCAAAGTGTGGGCCCGGGACCAGTAGCATAAGCATCACCTGGGAACTTGCTAGGAATGAAGATTCTCAGCCCCACACCAGGCCCAGCAATGTGTGTATCAGTAAATTCTCCAGGTGACTCCAATATGTGCTGATAAGTTTGTGCTAATAAACTCTAATAAGTTTGAGAACCACTGCTTCAGGAATGGGAGTGTTCTTGTCCCTGAATCCCAGCCTCTCAGGGTGCTCTCAGATTTTCTGACAGTAACCAGCCCAACTGCCTAGATGTTTGCATATTGGCCAATGTTAAGTCTTCGTTGCTACACATAGCAGCCTGTTAGCACACCCACACGATCCATCTCTTACTGACCCTCCTGATGCTGGCTATTTTCTTTGACTAACATCAGTCATCATAGCCTGTGGTGTTTCTAATTACTGTAGCCTTGTCTGGGGTTTTATCTTAGCAGCTGCAACAGTGTCGGTTTAACTTCTCCATCACCTGCCCCCAATGAATTATCTTGCCCAAAGTTCTATCCCCTTTGGGTCTTATATGACTCCTTAAGTTCACTCTACCATTTCTGGTCTTGACAAAAGGTTTGACACGTTGGGGGCTGAAAAGGACCCTGAGTTCCTAATTAAAGTCAAAGGTACAAATAACAGACCAAAACACACTGTTGCTTAGGTTGCTTAGAATTCACAAAAAGAGGACTTCCCAGGTGGTCCAGTGGTTAAGACTTTGCTACCAATGCAGGGGGCCTGGTATCGATCCCTGGTCAGGGAACTAGATCCCACCCACATGCCACAACTAAAGATCCTGCATGCTGCAGCTAAGACCTGGTGCAGCCAAATAAATAAATAAATAAAATTTTTTGAAAAAAAGAGTTCACAAAAAGGAGAAAGGGCAGGAAGAGACTTTTCACTGTGTATCTATTTATATGCTTTGACTTTCGAACAAGACAGCCATGTTAACCTACTAAAAAATAAAGTATTTTTAATTATTCTGAAAAATGCATAGTAAAAATAGGAATGGCCAGGGAAAACTTCCTGGAAGAAATGAGTTATGAGCCTCCTCTAGAATAGTGCAAGGGGCAAAGATTGATGGTAAAGGGCAGGGAACGCCTTCCAGATGAGACAGGCAGAAGAGAAAGCTGGCAAATGCAGAGCATGCAGAGAGCCGCCAATAGACAGGGTGAAGAGGCGGTGCTGACTGGCATCCTTTTACCAAAACATACTGGTTTTGACAACTCGTCTAGGTGATGGAATTCCGCTGAGAGATGGAGATGAGAAAACAGATGAAGAAGCGGATGGGCCATATTCAGATGATGAGATGTTAACACACAAAGGGCTACGAAGATCACAAAGCATGAAATCTGTGAAAACCGTGAAAGGCCGAAAAGAGGTTAGTCAGGTATAGAGTTGTTTTCCCAGTGATTACTATTAAGCGGTTTCCTGCTGCATTAGCATTTAGGGTATCCGTAGGTGAAGGGTTGGAATAATAGAGCACCGGCTATATTTAAAATTCTTTATTCAGATCAGATGGATTACGATCTCTGGAAATTTAGAAAATGGCAAATTCCTAGTCTTCCACTCTAAGTAGAAAATGGTATTCTCACACAGCAGAATCCTACGGTTGATGTGAGTACCCAGTGCCAGCCCTACGTATATGCAAAACAAAGCAGCTAACAGTATTAAGTATGTACTTTTGTTCTGAACCAACTCGAAATAAGGATTAAATAGTAAAAGTCTATCCATAATAATATGTTGTCTTTGTGCCCAGAAAGCAGTGGAGGATTTCAGCGAATGACCTCAGATTATTGTGAGCAATGTTCATTGACATGTACCCAGCAAAGCGTAAATAATAACAGTTAATAACAGTTTTAATAACAGTTTTCATTTTTTATTAGTGATAATAATCTGTGCATATATGCAACATAATGCCAACTACATTTTGGAGTATATAGGTAGTGCTGTCTTTTGAGTACACACTTAGCGCATAATTGATTCTTTATATCAGAAAAGTTAAAAAACTATTACTGTGATTGTGAGCTATTAAGTCCTGTCTTATTTCAAAACCTAAGTCATAATAATAACACACTTCTCTCTTCAGGTGCGGTATGGGTCACTGAAATACAAAGTGAAGAAGAGACCACAAGTTTATTTTTAGTCATGTACATGTCAAGTATCCCAAGACAAATTATGCTAATACATCAACTTTTCTTCTAACATCATATATTCAGGATTTATACATTAAAATAATTCTTTAAGTTGTGGTGGTGATAGGGTTTACTTTCATCTATTTAAATAGCTTTTATTTCTTTAACAATTACTTCCAAATCTTGACTACTAAAGGTAGTTTTGCAAAAATTGATAGATAGATATATCAGTAATAATAGAATACTGTGTTATCTATTGTCACATTCTTCATAACACTGAGTGCCTGTGATGTAAAGTGAAACACAAACCCACAGTATACTTGAAAAGAGTCTTTTCATGGTTCAAGATACACCAGACTTTGTGATATTGTATTGTGTTTACCTGTATTTCTGTTACTATCCTCTCTATCACATGAGGATAGTAATTAAATAGGCCTCTGATCCAGCAGTGATAGAACAAGGGTATAATGTAAGATAAAGTACGCTTTATATTCTTCAAGTTTTTACTTTGTTAATACTTTCTAGTTTTTCCACCATCAACTAACTGAAAGTTTTCAAGGCAAATGTTTGAAAACCAGGTATCTACATAGCACTTTCATTCCTGACTAGTTTTGCACACTTGAAAATTGTTTACTTATTTTACAACTGTACATTTAAGTTTTATTAACACTGTGTTTATTGTTATTTGTCATATTCTGGCATGTCAAATTTATGCCTTGAATTACATCATCTCTTTTCCTGTGGGTTTCATTAGTTATATTCATTTAATTTTAATAATAAAAACCAGAGCTTATTTTTCAATTTTAACTATTTTTACTTACCTTCTTTACAGATAAGAAGTTATTTTAAAACTCACCAGCTTCCCATATTTAGCTCTATAGTGTAGTTGAACTTAGCATGTTTTTGTTGACACTGGTTATGTTTTCAGCTTTTAAAAGTGGTAGCTTTTGTGAAATGGAGTCATAGACCAGTATAGCACTGAGGTATCTTCTAATTCATGAAATTAACCAACAGCCAATCCATTCAAAAGCTTGGCACTGATACGAGCTGCTGATTTATAAATCTGTCATTGACTAGAACCATTTGAATCACTTCACTTCTAGCTGAGATAATTTCCTGAAGATACCTGCCGATGCAAAATACAAATGTTGTTAATCTTACATATTAGAAGTTATTAGAATAGATTTTAGAAAAATACCATTTTTTTTAATCCAAGAGAATTTGAGTTACTGAACTTTGAGGTTTTTTAGGTGGCATAGGTAACTATGCATTATGAACCCTAAGTAAATATATTTCTGATGATGGTTTTAGTGATCAGTAATCAAATTTGTATTATTATACTTGTTCAGACAATTTACTTGATTTTTCTGTTCGTCCAAAAGAAAAAGCAGTGAGAGAGATTTGTAAGATCTTTGACCTTTCTACCTTCTAAGAAATGAAGCCAACTAGCAATGTATATTCAGGACCTACTCAGAGTGTTGGTAGAGGACAGAATGTTTACTCAGGAGTACCTTAATATAATTCATACATTTCTCTTGATACAAGTCTTAAAATGTCTTCTAGATTATCTCACATTCTTGATAAGAACCACCGACTAAAACTTCATTCAACTTATTTTCCCCCAAAGTTTAATTCCATGAATATCTTCATCTATTTTACCTTGACTAATTTTTAGCCTCTTCGTTTCTGGAAAGACTCTTTGTGTTCAAAATTTCTATGAATTCTGGTTATAAACTCTTGGAAGAGAGTTTTCTTTATTTTGCCTAGTACTAGACTTCCCAGTATAAATGGTACCTGTGCCATGCTTATCTCTCCTACACAAAGGCAATGTCATCTCAAATTGCCTGACAAGGTCATGTAAGTAAGTGACTTTGTATCAAAAACATTACCTTGGGGGGCTGATTTGCACCACTGTATTTTTTTGCAAGTCTAATTTCAGTATTAAACCTATTCTTTAATTATAGTAAAGTCATGAATACTGTCCTAAGTTGGAGGAATTATTTATCCCTCTACACTTCTAGAATCAAAACGTTTAATGGAGGACAACACTAGTTTCAAAGAGACAATGCAAGTCCTTCTGTTTAATTGTATCTCTTTACACTTAACAATGCTTCCTCTGATGTGTTTGTTATATCCTTATATACAGTCAATGTCATTTTGCTGGTCTATCATTTCCTTTCTTTCCTTTTCTTACATTTCTTAAATTTGCTTCTTTTCTTTCATATGTGTTTTAGCATGCTTTCTTTTGAATTTTGTATAATAAACGTAAATTTTTGTTTCTTTTAAGGTGGAACAGGTCATTTTTTGATTTTCTGCTTTTAAGTCTAATGCTTTTAAAAGAGGTATGTTAATCCCTAGAGCACAGTGCCTTGTTTCCCCCATTGCTTACCACTTGGCGGATGGGCATTGGATGCTGCACGAGCCTTTAGGGCACTGTTTTGGTAGCTGTTAAAGTTTATCCAGAAATTGTAGCTGGTGTTTTAGTTTATTATATAGTCATTCAACTTGTTCATATTATTAACTATTTCCAGGGTTTGTTTGGAAGCACTAATTGATCTATTCTTTAGTTCACCATATTTTTTCTGGTATAAAAATGGGCCCGAAATAAGCCTTATTGCTAAGGAATTAATTACGTAAACCCCCATAGACCCTGCATAAGATTCCCTCCACACACTTCCCTATATGTATGTGGAGTTGGGTAGAAAATTATGGTGCCAGCATTACCAATTATAAATACTTGAGTACACAGATTGATGGAACAAAATTATTAAAGTGTTTTCAGGGAACTTAATCATATGTCACCACCAAAGATTTCTACAGTGTTATATGATATGTAAATATTCCAAATTTCTGTAAAACATTCGTTAGATAAATGTTTTTCTTTCTTTCTTTCTTTCTTTCTTTTTAAGTAACAGTTTGTACTCTGGAATGCTTGAACTTTTGTGTTATTAGAAATAATACAACTTTTAAATATTAGTAATTTGTATTTTTAATTGGAATGAACTAAATTTTTATTTTGATTTTCTTTTATCAGGAAAAATAAGAAGTTAATATGTATTGAAAAGCAATTTCCTACGTTTTTTTTCTGTTTAAGTTGATCGTTATGCAAAGCAGTTAGGTAAATTTTGAAAAGATCGCTGTTGTGGTATGCAGTGTATGTTTCTCAGTAAACATCACTTAAGAGTAAAGCTTTCTGAAAGGAAAGTACAGCGTTTATTCTCTTAATGTTTTTAAGATTTAATCTTCTAGTAGTTTTCTACAGATATAATGTATTTTAACTCTTTAAACATTGACCATGAATTAACGTTTTCTCTTCTAACACCTTTTAAATCTATGTACTTTAGTAGTTAAGAGAAAGCAGTTTTGCAATTTTTAATCCCTTTGTAAAGGCTATCTTTAGGCCTAGTATGGCGGTAATTTTACAAATGTGGTTTATGAAAACTTTAATATAAAATAAACTCATTTTATTAGTGGTAACTTGTATTTTTTTCCTGTATCAGAATATATATGTTAGGTTCCATGAAATTATATTATTTATTACTGAGTGTCTCTTGATTAAATAGTAGACACCATAGGTACATACTTAAGATACAAATCATAGAGCAAATTATAAAAATCATATACATTCTTTGAAATATTGCCATTTGCAACAACATGTGTGGACCTAGAGAATATCACACTAAGTGAAGTTAAGTCCGAGAAAGACAAATACTATATGGTATCACTCATATGTGGGATCTAAAAAATAATACAAATGAATCTATATACAAAGCAGAAACAGACTCAGAGACATAGAAAACAAACTTACGGTTACCAAAGGGGAAAGCGGTGGGGTATACATTAGGAGTATGGGATTAACAGATACAAACTACTATACATAAAATAGAGGGCCTTCCCTGGTGGCACAGTGGTTAAGAATCTGCCTCCCAATGCAGGGGACACAGGTTCGAACCCTGGTCCAGGAAGATCCCACATGCCATGGAGCAGCTAAGCAGTGCACCACAACTACTGAGCCTGCACTCTAGAGCCCGTGTGCCACAACTACTGAAGCCCGTGCCTAGAGCCCGTGCTCTGTAATAAGTGAAGCCACCACGATGAGAAGCCCATGCACCGCAATGAAGAGTAGCCCCCACTCACCACAACTAGAGAATGCCCGCGCACAGCAACAAAAACCAACACAGCCAAAAATAAATAAATAATAAAATTAAATAAAATTAAATAAAATAGATAAGTAACAAGAATTTACTGTATAGCACAGGGAACTATATTCAATATCTTGTAATAACCTATAGTGGAAAATAATCTGAAAAAAATATATACACGTATAACTGAAAAAAATCATACAGTCTGGAATGCTCATCCATAGGATTACAAAAGAAACAACTGTTAAATTGAATGTTAGAAAAAGAAGATAGGAAAAAACAACCAGTACAGAAAACCTAGCCATCAATTTATATTGTTAGCTGTCTCAGACATAAAATATAACACAAAATTCAATTTTATGTATCCTGGAAATGTTCTAGGTTTCCATCTGTTTTAAAGTCAGATGTCTGTCTGCCTCACATTTAAACTTTAAAGAGAAAGCCTGTGTTTAAAAAAGTTTCTTTGTGTGACTTCATTATGATATATAATGTTTTAAAGTATTTCCAAATGGAGTTATATTTTCGCTTTTATTAGGATACATATCCTTGTGTTGATCCAAAGAAGTTAGAAATTTAAATAAATATTCAAAAGAATACAATGAATATATGAACTGCAGCATTTTATTCAGTGTTTTATTTTGCCTTTTAGTGGTTCACTGTTCTTCAGAAAGAAATTCATAGAACAAAAATCATGTCAGAGGGCGTCCCTGGTGGCGCAGTGATTGAGAGTCCGCCTGCCGATGCAGGGGACGGGGGTTCGTGCCTCGGTCTGGAAGGGTCCCACATGCCGCGGAGCGGCTGGGCCCGTGAGCCATGGCCGCTGGGCCTGCTGCGTCCGGAGCCTGTGCTCGGCAACGGGAGAGGCCACAACGGTGAGAGGCCCGCGTACCGCAAAAAAAAAAAAAAAAAACTCATGTCAGAGACTGATTCATTGTTCCCTGGAAAACATTCTGCCTTTTACCTACCCATCAGTATTCTATTCTTGAAACTCTCTCCTTATGGCCTGGTTTTAGTAACAATTTTTTAAATTGATTTTTATAAGACGATGCTTTGAACTGAAATTTTAACACACAAGGTTGATAACTGTCCATAAGTATAGGATACTAAGAGACTGTGCTCAAAAAAGCAGGAAAATCACCCCATTTACTCTTATTTTACCTGGCAATCCCAGATTAAGGACAAGGGGAAAGAGGGAAAAAAAGGAAAATATGGTATTTTCACACTATATGCAAATCAAATAATTTTTTCATTGAAAAATATTCCTTGAGTGTCTACTGTGTATGGTAGCTCTGTACAATACCTATGTCCAAGTAGGATAGCATAACAATTTAAGGAAAATAATTCTTGCTTTAAAAATAACAAATTCATTGTTACCAAATGTTCAGATGGAGTTTCATTTATGTTTTGATTTCTCCTAGGTTATTGAATAATTTATTTGGTTTCTCTCAAAGCAGGTTTTGGTTTTTGGGGGTTTTTTGGGTTTTTTTGTTGTTTTTTTTTTAATTCTTGGTTCTTTTCTTTCCCTTACCACTTACATCTGATACATTAGTAGGTTCTTTGGCTCTCTCCAAAATATATACTGAATTTGACCATTAAACTAACCTCCCCTTCATTTTCCCTATTTTAAGCCATCATCATCTTTCACCTGGAGTACTCAAGGCATAAATGTTATTTAAGGCAGAATTTCTTGAAACTTTACTACATTTTTTGTAGCCTTGCAAATTTTTCAAGGTGACTTTTAACCTTGAGTTCCATAGAACTGTCAGTTTCTTATCTTTTCAACTGTATTTTGGGGAAATACAAAAAGAGAAGGTTGTGAAGAGCAGTGAAGACCCAGTGCAGCCAAAGATTAAATAAATGAATAAATAAATCAATTTATTAAAAAAAAAAAAAAGCAAGAGCAGATAGTTTTGCACATCAGCCTTGGAAGAGAAGTTTTTCTCTTCTAAGCATTTTTTTGTTTGTTTTTTTGTTTTTTTTTATTTGGCTGTTTGGGTCTTCTTTGCTGCGCATGGGCTTTCTCTAGTTGCGGTGAGCAGGGGCTACTCTTGGTTGCGGTGCACGGGCTTCTCATTGCGGTGGCTTCTCTTGTTGCAGAGCACGGGTTCTAGGAGCCCGGGCTTAAGTAGTTGTGGCTCACGGGCTCTAGAGAGCAGGCTCAGTAGTTGTGGCACACGGGCTTAGTTGCTCTGTGGCATGTGGGCTTTTCCCAGACCTGGGCTCGAATGCACTGGCAGGCAGATTC